CGAGGCTTGAAAGGTGAATGCTCGTCGTAGAACAAGGGTTGCTTTCAGTGACCGTGACTTAGATGGTTGGGTCAGATGCTGACACACGCGACAGTGGAATCAGTGGAACATGGAACAGGCTTGTTCAGAGTTGGTGTCCGCAATGCGCTGCAAGCTTAGATGAGGACCTTGCCAAAGCTTGCCTTACATGGATGAACACGTTCGGGATCCTATGAAGCAACTGGCAAGCTTCAAGCCAAAAGCGGCGGGTGGAAGGACGAGTTCGGTGAACAACCAGACACTCTGTACACTCCGTGGTTTGCCGACGAAAGCCCCTTACTATGACTTCTAGGATGTGACGACACACTTCGAGAGTCATTGCTGATCAGTGATGCATGGCATGTGAAGAGCTCCGCGATATTGCCATACAAACCATCGCAGGAATGCTACAAAAATATTCGTAGAAGTCATCAGAACCAAGAACAATGATTCCACCTTCGGGTCCAATCATCACATTCATCGATTTTCCGCTCTTGGGACTTTCCCTGGTCGGAAAGCGGCCAGCTCCCGCTTTCTACCCTATCCTGCTGGAAGTGCTTCTTAAGGTTTATTCACAATGGTATTACGATGGCAGAATGGGCATATCTACTTTGAGTGGGTCAGTGTACTGAAGTGGCAGATGCAGCCACGCCCAGACCGTCCAAATACCAGCAAAATACATTCAAGCAAAAAGCGGAAACCTGCAGACAGCCTGAGAAGGCATCATTGCTGAGTGTGAGTGGCCGAGCGGGATGGGCGAGGCAGAAAAAGACTAGAGCTTCGGGCTTGCCAACATTATGCTCCTGATACTCCACATACGCCAATGCATTGCCTGTCTATGCTACAGACCAGAGTGACCAAAGGCTACATGCCAGACATAGAAACACAAAACTACAGGACACTAACAACTCGTCCTAGACAAGACAGATACGACTGCACACCCGAATGCAACAACAATTGTGATTCCTAGGCATGTGGTTCTGCAGGCTTGTTTGTCGATAAGTGCCTTGAAATTAACACACTGCCTGCGACTCAAGACCTGCGTTCTTGTGCGAAAGCTTCGCCGAGATACGACTCTGATGTCTCAAGACAGGAATTGGGGATTGCGGCTTAGGGATCTTAAGTAGGTACACACTCAGTGCGCCCTGCAAACCTCGGACCGGGTAAGGATAGAGCCTCAGTGCAACAGTTCAACACTATGACATGCTGAAACCAATACAGTGACCAGTGGCCTAGTTCAGGACAATGGGAGAGCAGGACAACCATGATCGGGCAGTGGTTCAGGTGGGGTCGAAAGCTCAGTTGCCCTTCCCCACCCAATCCCAACCACATCAGAGACACAGCGCGAGGAGCAATGGCCGAAAGTCTTCGCGGCAGTACAAACACTTCTGCCCGGTTAACTGCTGCCATGTAACTCTAAACCCTAAAACGTAAACCCAACCCAAAGATTCACGAAAGAAGTCCGGAGTTCTTCGAGCGCCAGAGTCGACCATTCGCAAAACTCCGGCTAGCTATCCCAACATGTCACACGAGAGATCGCGACTCGATAAGCTTTGAGTTGATGAGCTGCCTGGAAAAGAAGAAAGAGAGCCCAGTAAACGTGGACTGGGTTTAGCAAGGTACCCACAATTACCCACACTTCTGATTATGACCAGTCACCCAAATCACGGCACTGATGACCATGATTCATGATCGTTGCAATGTGATGGCATCTGTCGATGCACCAAGGTCACTATATAATCCTTAAGCGACTCTGAGCAAGGGCAGCTCGTCTGTTACGGTCTTCGGTGATGCGCAATGAAATCGCAAGGCTGGCGAGTATTGAGACGCTCACAGTAGGAATGCATAGCACCCGCCTTGGAAAGGTACTTTCGGACATGGCCTGTGCTAGAGACCACCCTCGCCCACGCGACGACGGGGCAGTTCGCGGAAAATATGGGATGCATGGAGCCGTACTGAGGCTGTTTTTATAACTCTAGGAAAATGATTGTGCTGTTCGGAGATAGCCTTCCATCTCAACAGTCCCCACGCACTAAGTATGCGCTTGCTCCATCCCCGGGAATAGCGATAAGGACTGCCACCGTCAAAAAACCGGGCGGACTGTGATAATTACCCTACGTCGGTTCGCAGGTCTTATGGTTGAAGCACTCGACACCCTCAATTCTGTGCTGTTTTGCTCCGAGTGGCGATCAAGGCAAATGCACATGTTGGCTACATCACAAAACATCAGTTAGATTCTGCATGCGATCCCATCTGATATCGAACGGCCTTTCCTGGTGTGCTTGCGCCAGGCAGCGTGCAGGGAAGGTGATGAAAAGACAGTCTGCCGAAGAGGTCAAAGTGGCTCAAGCTTGCAGGTGCTTTGATGTTGAGTTTGCTCATGCCTTCAGGCCAATTGCCTCTGGAGCTGGTAGTCAATAGAAGGCTGCAGGTGCCTGGCTGATATCTTCTACATTCAATAAGAAAATACAGCTGCAATGCCTGGTCATGCCGGTTCACTTGTTCCATGGTTGCATAGCACACAGTCTTCGGGTACCATGGCCAATTCGGAAGTCACGAGGCCTCAATCTTTGAGGCCCTAGAGGCCCCAGAGATTGAGAGCTTGAACCTCCGGTGGGAGCCAACAGTGTTTCAAACCTCATCGGCAGAATGCTGGCTGAACGGCTCCATGCAGGCGCGACCCGAAACTGCACGCGTTCCGACAAAGCGAAACGTGGATGATCACTTGCTGAAGGTTCGGGCTAGTATGGATTCTTCCTTCGGGGTCCTCAAACGGCGCGAGCCTTGCTCACTGGGAGCCGCCAGTATAACTTTCTTTAGGAAGAGGCACGCTGGAACACGTGCTCCGAATGCCTTGGCCTTCCGACCCCTCGTTTCAGTTTGTGGGAGCAGGCTTCGAGAGTAGAGGTGGCGGTGCAGGGAGTGAAGGCAACTGCACCTTTGGTACAGCGGCAGGCTTCATGCATTAGCTCTTCTTCTCGCCGCTCATAGGCCCGCAACTACGTCCGGCTTCGATATGGCTTTCAGAGGCTTAGGGCCGTTCAGGGTCCGGGGAGTCCTTGCAAAAGGCGAGTTGCCAATTTCGTAGAGATCCGAGTCTCGTCGGAAGATCCGGAAGGCGCCGAGCCAGCAAAGCTCTCTGAAAATTGGTCATCGGATTCCAGCTTGGATGGCTCTGAACCGCGCCGCTTCTGATGAATTTGGGACAAGACTGAAGCAGTCTCAGGTTCCTATATGCCATCAGATCTGTCATGCACCTGTGTGAGAAGCCCAGTTCTCCGCACGCATCTCACCAACTTAATCCCTACGTCCTAAAGCGCTCGCCCATGACCGCCCATGCCAAGCTTTGGACACCTATAGACGGCGAAAACCGTAGGCAGTACTCTCCCGCAGACAGGCGTGGAGGCGAAGGCAAGAGCCCCATGAGGCGAAGATTTACACGGGAAGGGTCACCTCCACGAAGAGTCCTTGCTTCCAGGCTTGGGGTATATTATACTATTAATATATACTATAATATTTCTATAGTATACCTCCACGAAGAGTCCTTGGAAAAGTTTTTTTGGGTGGATTCCTGTGACTTCTGAGACTTAGCTCGGACGGGCTCTCCTGATGGCGGCGAAGACCAGTCATGGGACTTCAGCTCACTACGGAGTCTATATTATAAGGGTTCATAATGCTAGGTTCAAAATACTATAAGCTTATAATACTAGGTTCATTATACTATAATACCATCACTCTAAGCTGTTCGAAACCCTCAGGAGCTCTGTACTACATGGTGTTTGTACAAGTTCGGGTCTGGAGTCTGAAGTCTTACGGCCTCGACGCGATCAAGACCGGATATTTCTCCAGGCCTCAGCCACCCGGATGCCAGTTTAGTCCAGATCCATGCATCGCTCCATGACGGGTCTCGTTCGATCACGTCTCCTCTCCTATATCTATACCCGTGAACAGCGCTCTGGTTGCAGCAGTATGGCGAGTGACGGTCACACTGGACACAGGTCGCTATTCAAGCTAGTCATTCCAGCACGGCCTCCTCAACCTTTTCACGTCGACATCATAACTTGGCCCGAGAAACTGACCTGCTGCCTCATGCTACCTTGCTACATGCTGGCGGCATCAACCGGAACGGTAGGATTTGCAAACATCCACTTACTCTTCCTTCTCAGGCTCTGCTGTCGAGAACTCTCCGGGCTGTAGAATCAAGAACTTGCGCTGATTTGGGAACCCGAAACAATGGCGACCAAGAGCTCGCATGGATCCGGAGTAGACAGGTCCGTGAGTCAATGAAGAGATTTGGATGGTACCTGGTCCGCGAGCACGAGAGGGGCTTTGAGCCTACTGTGGTCGTAATCTTACAACGTGAATACAAACAGTCAGCCGGGATTGCGACATTTTGAGGGTGACAGCTTGGGCGTGTTGCGCGATACTGAACACGAGGACCTGCGGGCTACCCTCAGAACAATAAGGCCGCTGCGATCAACATGACGCAGCCAACACCCAACCCGAAGCACGATCTGAACACGAAGCAATATGCGTTACGAGTCTGTATGCTTGCTGCGTAGACCCGGTCTCTCGACCGACAATCAAGTATTGCTTCAGGCAATCTGCTCTGTATCACGATCATCGCTGCGGGTTATGCGACGAGGCCTATGCATGATGGTAGTCCTAACGTGTATCTGCCTCTGTACGTCCCTCGCACGCCGGACGAAGTCAAAGACGCAGCCCGCGATGATCGCGCCATGCATCGGGGATGCAGGATATGCGAGATTTTGGCGAATGCCTGGCCTCACCCCAAGCCTGCCCAGCTCCCGAATGCCTCGATTCGAAGGACCGGCCATCCGAGAACCTCGGACCACGCAGCCAGTGTCGGGCAGCTCCACGTGCCAAACTGTCACAAGGTCTGATCTCTCGCCGCAAGTGCTTAAGTGCTTAAACATGCCAATACCGAAGCACGGCTGAGTTGTCCGCACGAGCAAAGAAGCTCAGCCTTCTGTGAGCTGAGCAGCCTTCTCCCTGGGCGAAGGCTTGCATCGCTGTTTGTCGCGGCTTCCTAGTGCTAGCCTAATGTCTGCATCTGCAGTCGTTGGGTGCAGGAGGAAGAGGAAAAGCAAGGACACCAAATTTGGCCGATACTCAATGCTAACTATTCGCTAACTCTCATGCAACGCAGCAGCCAACTGGTGATAGCGGAGCTTAGGTCCGTCTGCGTACATTCTTGGCTTGTTATTGTAAGCCGACTTATCAGATTCAGAACCGACAGTCATGCAGGGCAGAAGGCACTGTAGTGTGGCGAGGTCAGAGAGTTCGCAGCTAGCAGAATAAGGCATTCGCATCCTTTCGAGGTGGGATCTGTCGCATGCGCGTGTCTAGGAACTACTTGCCAGCACAGGCAGTACGCTTTCAACAAGATGCTGCATGCATCCTTCAACTAGGAGCTGTCGTGTCAGGCTTTGGAGCTTCGAGCACGCACAAAAACGCAAGCCCCCTTGAAGAATTCCAAAGCCCCTCCTCCCATCTGGACTGCCGACAGCGTGGTTTGTGAATTTACAGGAGCTTGGACCTGCAACTTTCGCCTGTCATTGACACTTAGGGCGAGGGTAGGGTGACTGCGGTGGGGAGCAGCAAAAAATACTACGCTGTACTACAACTGGGTGAGTCGGGACCAGTGCTGTGCCAAGAGGCATCGACTGCCGCTGCGCTTCGATGTCCTGTCTGCGACTCTGGCTCGCAACGCTTCTACCGAACTCCCTTCTGAACTTCTGTTGTCGAAAACTATCAATGATAATGCTAACCATAAATTGCTATTAACGCTACTTGATCTAACTATTGACATTATTCATACTGATAGGGCTGAGGTGGGTGCCAATCTCTGTGCGCAACGATAGCCTCATGTGAACCCTCAGGGCCCTCAAGGCAGCCAAGGGCAACGGAGACTGGGAGGAGGGCAAGAAAAACTCACAGGAAATCCAAAGCTGCAAAGCAACTGTATGGGCCGTGGATGCTATAACTATCGGCTGTTTCAACCGCTGCCTCTAAACAAACCCGAAACTCGGAGCTCTGAGGACGTCAAGAGAGGCTGCCAAGAAGCTCCGGGCTCCCAGGAGTTCAGGTTTCGAACCACGCCGGCAGCCTTAGAATTGAGACAGGTGGGTCTTCTTCGGCCGTTCTTGGAGTCAGGACTGCAGACTGGAACACGCTGGCTTCTGGGGCGTGTTGTGATGAAGGGCCGGGAGCGTGGCCCAGAACTGTGGCATTTGCGGGCTTGGTGATCAAAAGTTTCTGTGGAAGTCGGATGATTCTGTCTCTCTGATCTAAGTGAGCCTGTCACACGCCAGCCCGGTGCACTCAAGCGTTTGACCCCAACCCGAAAACCCTGCAGAATGAATCCTAAACCCTTACCCTCTAAACCTCCATGGTAAGCATAAACCACCAAGCCAAGGACCTCTTCAGCTTGCCATCGGACGATGGCAGTGCGAAGATCCTTCTCTGTGTCGGAGTTCAGTGGGCTTCCACTCAAGGATTGGCTCTTTTTCAACTACTTTTGTAGGACTTCTCATCTGGTCTCTACTCTAGCACCCTACTTGTCTCCAAGGCCAGACAATTCACTGTGCAGGGCCTCTGATATCCTGTAGCGCCTTCGAATCAAGGACCTCTTTCCCGTTGAGTTGCCGGCTGCTCTTAATCGTCGTATTGCACATGATGCGAGGAACAGGCGTTGCCGTAGGGTTGAGGGTTTAGGGCGTGGCCTTTGGAATCTGATGAAAGTGTCATCTCACCAGACGGAAGGAGAACTTAGCGCACATGGTATCCAAAACGGCTTACGATGAGTTACAACATCCATGATTCTGTGCTGCACGGCTTCCGAGCGAGACTTCCTACGACTATCCGACGGTGCAGCTGGCAGCCAGTCCAGAGGATGCTTTAGGGAGTTTCGTATCGTACAGGATGCCCAGACCAGACCGGACTCTGCTACATTGCCAGGCGTATACAGATTGCAGCTGCACCGAAGCACCATTCCTGTTTGCCCACCTCTCCTATGGACTCGGGGGAATGGCTGACAAGAGCTTCAAAGCGGTACTGTGCCTTCCGTGACTTGAAAGGTGAGCGCCTCCAGCAGGGAAGCTGCCATCTCACGGATGAGGCGACCTCGAGATTCACGAATGCGCGCGTCAGCCGAGCTACGCACTGCTCCCGGAACCCCTGGTAGAAACAACTGTTGCATCAAATTGGACCGGGCCGGTGCTTCAAAAAAACCTGAACATGTCTTCAAGTTTGACCGGAGACGTCCCAGCACAAGATCATCATACTATACTTACTGTACTGGCCAGGCACCAGCGAAGGCCCGGAAGATGGAGGGAATGCGAATGAACGGGATGGCCTGCCCATCATCTTTCTTGCCCTGACCCCGTTATTGAAGAACAATTTTAATAGCCATGGAGACAAGCTCTCCCAAAACACCAATCCAGCATGGCTAGCCGCTTCAACAAGGAGACCTCGACATTCGGCAAGAAGAGCGGGAAGGGCAATCATCTTGCTTGGAAGTCAACAACTCAACAGAAACAAACTGCTTGGCCTTGGCTTTCCGACCCTGAAGCCTCCTGAAGCCCACACCCTGGCACTCTGACTGAACAGCCTGGAGTCTAAAATCGGCCGCGGTGGACGGCTTTCGCAAAAAAATCAACCAAAGATCCGCTCGGACCTCTGAAAGCGAATCGTAGAGTCTATTTTCGGAGCCCCTTCGTTTGCAAGCCTTACTTGCGATGCGTCGGATTGAAAGCATAACCACAGCTGAGAGATGAGAGACTGCTTTCTGTCCCTTTTGCTGGAAGCAGACGGTTGCCTCGTTATAGAAGAGGACGATAGCCTCGTCCTTTGCGGAATGGAACTGCGAATCAACTTCGCACCGGGGGTCAGAGCATGTTCGGCAATTGCATGGCTAATGCTTCTGCCACAGCTTGAGGTTAAGTAGATTTCAGTAGTCCTGGCTGACGGGGACCACACGCCAAAAGCCTGCGAGGCCACTCAGACTTAAGGTGGGAGGTGCAAGGGCGGCCACTGCATGGGTTCGGATAGGCAGAGTGCTGCCATACGTACATACCCACACACGACATGTAGTAATACATACATTAATACATACATGCATACATACCTACCTACATACCTACATACCTGCATACCTGCATGCATGCATGCATGCATGCATGCATGCATACATACGGCCGTACCGATGTACGTACGTACACCCAGACATACAAAGACAGGCAGGCAGAAACAAACGAGACAGGCAAGCAAGGCAACTGTGCCAGGCACACCAGGGGTGCTTTGCATGAATGCTTCTGACATCCACACATCAGACATGAAGCAGAAACAGGAGTGTACCGATTTGGGCACCTGCATCCACATATGCATGCTTATGAGCATGTTAGCCTGCACGTGTGCGCATCCATCAGGAAAGAGGGCTATTTCCACAAGTACATTCTGATGTGATATATATATATATATGGATAAGCATGCGTGCATGCATGCATGTATGTATGTTTGTATGTATGTTTGTATGTATGTGTGTATGTATGTGTATGTATGTGTATGTATGTGTATGTGTGTGTGTATGTGTGTGTATGTATGTGTATGTGCAAATGTTTACATGTGCACATATATACAGGATTGCATAGGGAGAAAGAGAAAGCTCTCTGTGTGTCAGTGTTCATGTATGTGCATATATACGACATACGTATCTACGTATGTATGCAACCATTCATATTTGTGTGTACATATGTATATGTGTATGCATTCGTTTATGTATGTGTATATATATATTATATTATATTATAT